AGATATATATGAATTTTAGGATTGGCTTGTCAAATTCTGCAAAAAAGCCAACAGGGATTTTGATAGGGATTGTGCTGAATCTGTAGATCACTTTGGTGAGTGTTGCCATTTTAACAATGTTAAATCTTCTAATTCAGGAACATGGGCTGCCTCTCCATTTATTTGGGTCTTCTTTAAATTTCTTTCAGCAATGATTTGTGTTTTTCTTTTTTGTTTTTACAATGATTTGTATTTTTCAGTGTACAAGTTTTACAATTTTTTGTTAAATTTATTCCTAAGTCTTTTATTCTTTTTGATGTTATTGTAAATGGAATTATTTTCTTAATTTTATTTTGGGATTGTTCATTGTTAGTGTACAGAAATACAATTGATTTTTGTGTATTGCTCTTGTATCTTGCAATATTACTAAACTTGTTTATTAGTTTCTAATAGTTTATTGTGGATTCCTTAGGATTTTTAAATATAAGATCATGTCATCTGTGAGTATAGATGCTTTTACTTCTGTTCAATCTGGATTCCTTTTATTTTATTTTCTTGCCTAATTTCCCTGGCTAAAATCTCTAGTAAATTTTGACTAGAAGTGGTAAGAGAAGACATTCTTGTCTTGTTACTGATCTTAGGGGGAAAGCATCTGGTCTTTCATTATTAAGTATGTTGTTAGCTGTGAGTTTTTTGTAGATACCGTTTATCAGATTGAGGAAATTCCCTTTTAGTCCTGGTTTGTTGATTGTTTTTGTTATGAAAAGGTATTGGGATTTATCAAATGCTTTTTCTGCATCTATTGAGATGATCATGTGGTGTTTGTCCTTTATTCTACTTATATGGTGTATTACATTGATATTTATGTGTTGAACCAATCTTTAATTCCTGGGATAAACCTCACTTGATGATGGTGTAGAATCTTATATACATGTAATGCTGGCTTCTGTTTGATGGTTATTTTGTCTGTATTCATAAAGGATATTGGTATGTAGTTTTGTTGTGATATTTTTGTCTGGTTTTGGTAACAGGGTAATAATGACCTCATAGAATACGTTGGGAAGTGTTCCCTTCTCTTCTATTTTTTAAACAAGCTGATGAAGAATTGGTGTTAATTCTTTTAATGTTTGGTAGAATTCACCAGTGAAGCCATCTAGGCCTGGGATTTTCTTTGTGGTATGTGTTTTGATAACTAATTCAATCTCTTTACCCTTATAGGTCTATTCAGAAAATATTTTTTCTTGAGTCCATTTTGGCGGTTTGTGTCTTTCTAGCAATTTGTCAATTTCACCTAGCTTATCTAATTTGTTGGTGTACTTATTGTTCATAGTATTCTCTCATAATCATTTTTATTTCTGTAAAGTTGGTAGTGATGTCCCCTCTTTCTTTCCGATTTTAATAGTTTAAATCTTCTCTCTTCTTTTTCTTGGTCAGTGTAGCTAAAGGTTTGTCAATTTGTTTATTGTTTCAAAGAACTAACTTTTGGTTTTATGGATTTTCTCTCTCTAGTTCTCTACTTCATTTATTTTCATTTCAATCCTTACAGTTTTCTTCTTGCTGTTTGTTTTATGTTTAGCTTGCTCTTCTTTTTCTCAGTTTCTTATGGTGGAATGTTAGGTAACTGATTTATGATCTTTATTACTTTTTACTCTAGGATTACAGCCATAAATTTCCCTCTAAGCACTACTTTAGCTGTGTCCCATAGCATTAGTATGTTTTGTTTTCATTTTCATCCATCTCAAAGTATGTTCTAATTTTTGTTGTAGTGTCCATGTGCACATAAGAAGAATGTATACTCTGCTGTTGTTGGGTGAAGTGTTCTATACATGTCTGTTAGGTTCAGTTGGTTTATAGGTGCTTTAGTCTTTTATTTCCTTGTTGCTCTTCTACCTAGTTGTTTTATTCATTACTGAAAGTAGGATATTGAAGTCTCCAACTATGATTGTTGATTGTCTATTTCTCCCTTCAATTCTGTTAGTTTTGGCTTCGTGCATTTTGAGGCTCTGTTGTTAGATACATATATATTCATAATTATTATGTCTTCCTGATCATCGACTCTGTTAACATTATAAAATATCCTTCTTTGTATTTAAGAACAATTTTTGTCTTAAAGTCTGTTTTGTCTGATGTCTGACATTAATATAGCCACTTTAGCTCTCTTTTTTGGGGGGTACTGTTTGCATGGTATAACTTCTCCGATTCTCTTCCTATCAACCCATTTGTGTTTCTGAATCTAAATTATGTGTTTTGCAGACAGCATATAGCTGGATCTTTTTTTTTTTTTAAATAATCCATTCTGCCAATCTCTGACTTTTAATCGAAGTGCTTAGTCCATTTACATTTAATGTAATTACCAATAACGTAAGATTTGCATCTGCCATTTTGCTATTTGTTTACTGTATATCTCATGCTTTTTGGTTCTTCTATTCTTCTATTATTGTCTTCTTTTGTGTTAAATAGATATTTTCTAGTGTACCATTTTAATTCCTTTTTTTTAACTATATTTTTTGTGTTATTTTCTTGGTGCTCTGGGGATTGAAATTAGCATATTAACTTAAAACAGTCTAGATTAATACCAACTTAATTTCAATAGTGTACAAAATTTTGTTTAATATAGTTCTGTCTCTCTCCACTCCTTTGTATTGTTACTGTTATACACATTACATCTTTATACATTATTAGCCCATCAACAGTTTTATGAACATTGCTTTATGCAGCTGTCTGTTAAATCAAATAGAAGAGTTACAAACAATAGTACATTTATACTGTATTTTATACTTACCTATGTATTTACATTTAGTGGTATAATTTATCTTTACCTTTATTTCTTCATGTGGATTCATGTTATTGTCTAGTGTCCTTTCATTTTAGCCAGAAGGACTCCCTTTTGTGTTTCTTATATGGCTGGTCTACTAGTGAATAATTCTGTCTCTCTCGCTCTTTGTTGTCATTGTTGTTTATCTGGGAATGTCTTAATTTCTTCTTTTTTTTTTGGAGGATAGTTTTGCTGGATATAAAAGTCTTTTTCTTTCAGTGCTTTGAATATACCCCACTGTCTTTTGCTTTTCATCTTTTCTCTTGAGAAATCAGCTGTTAATCTTACTGAGGTTCCCTTGTATGTGATGTGCTGCTTTTCTCTTGCTGCTTGCATGATTGTCTTTTGACCATTTTTTAAAATTGTGTAAATACATATGTATCAAAACAGTTGCCATTTCAACATTCTTCACATGTACAATTTGGTGACATTGTGTTCATCATGTTGTACAACCATCTCCATTATTCATTCCCAATTTTTTCCATCACCCTTAACAGAAGCTCAGTGTTCCCTAAGCAATGGTCCCTCTTTCCCCTTGCTGGCAGTCCACCCCTGGTAACCACTGATAACTTAGGTCTGTATACACTTGCCTATTCTAGATATTTTATATAAGTGGAATCATACATTTGTCCTTTTGTGACTGACTTATTTCACTTAGCATGATGTTTTCAACATTCATTAATGTTGTAGCATTTATCAGAACTTTATTTCTCTTTATGGATGAGTAATATTCCATTCTATGTATGTACCACATTGTGTTTATCCATTCATCAATTGATGGACGTTTAGGTTGTTTCCATCTTTTGGCTATTATGAATAGTGCTGCAATGAACATTGATGTACATGTATCTGTTCGTGTTCCGGCTTTCAATTCTTTTGGTTATATACCTAGAAGTGGAATTGCTGGGCTGTATGGTAATTCTATGTTTAACTTTTTGAAGAACTGCCAGACTGTTTTCCACAGCAGCTGTCCATCTTTTGACATGTGGATGTGTCTAGGTGTGGATCTTTTTGGGTTTCTCCTACTTGGAGTTTGTTGAGCTTCTTGGATGTGCAGATTAATGTTTTTCATCAAATTTGGGAAGTTTTGGGCTATTTTTTCTTTGAATATTCTTTCTGCCCCTTTCTTTCTAGGACTCTTATTATGTGTATGTTGGTATGCTTGATGGTGTCCTATAGATCTCTGAGACTCTGCTTATTTTTCATCCTTTTTTTTTCTTTTCCTCAGACCAATTACTCTCAATTGCTTGTCTTCAAGTTCACTGATTCTTTCTTCTTCCAGTTCAAATCTATTGAGCCCTTCTAGTAAATTTTTCATTTTTGTTATTGTATTTTTGAACTCTAAAATTTCTATTTTGGTTCTTTTTTATAATTTTTTTGAATCTCTTTATTGATATTATCTATTTGATGAGGTATTGTTCTCATACTTTTTGTAAGTTTTTAAGGCATGGTTTCCTTTAGTTTTTTGAACATATTTTTAATAGCTCATTTAAAGTCTTTGTCTAATAAGTCCAATGTCTGGGCTTCTGCAACAATTTCTACTGCTTTTTTTTGTCTATGAGCCATACTTTCCTTTTTTTGGTATGTCTTGTAGTTTGTTGTTGAAAGCTGGATAGCTACTATAATGTAATGTGGAAACTCTGGAAATCATATTCTCCCCTTATCAGAACTAGTTGTTGTTTGTTTAGTGGCTTTCTTGGACTAATTTTGTAGTCTGTATATTATTTTTTTGTTGTGCAGGGCCACTGAAGTCTCTGCTTGGCTAGTTTAGTGCTAAGCTAATGATTGGAAAGAGATTTCCTTAAATGCCTTGAACCAATAAGACTCTCAGCCTTTGCTCCAGCAGGCAATTTACAACTCTGCCTTAGTCTTCATTTCCTGTTTGCATAGAGCCTCAAGGATAGCCAAAGGGAGAGATTAGGGCTTTCTCAGGTCTTTTCTGGACATCTGCAGTCCTTAGCATACACAGAGTCCTGTGTATGGGTGTGGCCTTCTAGATTCCCAGGAATATGTTGGAACTTTTCAAAGCCCTTATGAGCATTTCATTCCCCAGTTTTTTCTTTTTAGCTTTTTGGTCAGACTCTGGTTGGCCCTGATTGGTGACACCACCTCAGGCAGGTGCGATGTTAAACAATTGCCACTTATTGTTTTCTACAAATGCCCTGGGGACAGTGCTGCTATGTAACTAAAAATTTCTGCCTTTCAGATTGGTGGACCGGATAACTCTCGGCTGACTTCTCGTTTGGGGAAAGAATATGTCAATATCATGAATATGCTCATTTTAACACTCCCTGGCACTCCCATAACTTACTATGGGGAAGAAATAGGAATGGAAAATATTTTACCCACAAATTTCAACGAAATCTACGATGTTGTAAGTTTAATGCAACTTTTCCATGCACCACAGTTGTAAAACCAAGTACTTGTTTTTTTTGGAAAATCAGAGAATTTACAATTTCTATTCCATTGCTATATTAGCTTTCCTGGTAGTGAGGGTATTGTTAAAATGATGCTTCCTAGGCCACATAACTGAATTTTTAGGGTATAGGCCAGGAATCTGCATTCTGAAGATGCTTTCCTGCTGATTCTTATACATTCCAAAATTTGAAAACCAGTGTTCTGAGTTCAGATTATTATTCAGTGCCCTCTACCTGAATCATGCAGGGTTAAGAACATTTGTTAGTTCTTGTCTTTCTTGAGCTAGATCTTACTTGTCCATAGCAAAAACACTCTTCCTTTTATGTTATCAAATGTGATGCACAACCTCAGACTTGAGTGGTTTTTATTTTTGTTTGAAGCTACGGATCTCACAATTATGTTGCTGGGTAGATGACTGATCTTGAACATTTCATTTGTATGGGTAGCTTTCAACTGTATGAGATCCAATTTCCCTAGTATGTGGTCAAGGCAAAACTTTTTCTGTCTCAGCTCCTAAATTTGTGTGTGTGCACTCATGCAGAGTAACTAGGCTGGATAAATGCAGGCTAGAATTCAGGCTCACTTGTACATAGCAGTGTCTTGAATTCATCATCACTGTATCATCATGGTTGAACGAGGAACTTGAGAACTGGTAATGGCACATTTTGAAATTGTGCATTACTTATTTTTAGGGAAACAAGCATCAAAGATTCCAAGCATGTATCTAAGTTCAGTTATTATAGTCTATTTGTATGCAACTGGCTTATGTACTGAACGTTAAGGTCTTTTCATTATGCACGCTATGAACACAAGCACTAGCTAACAGATAATAGGTAAATAATTATGAAGTATTTATCAGGGCCAAGTTACATTTCTTTTAATAACCAGGCTATTGTTTTCTTTTTATGGTCTTTTGACATAGAATACCCTTCTCTCAAAGTCACCAATGCAGTGGGACAACAGCTCAAATGCTGGATTTTCTGAAGGCAATCACACCTGGTTACCCATCAGTTCAGATTACCACACTGTGAATGTTGATGTAAGTACCAATGAAAAATTTATGCTGATTCTAGACATGTAAATGAGTTTCTGTACTGAAAACATACACTCATCCTGTGCGTGTCTAAACCTTAACAGATACTCTTTTAATCACACATTTTGTTTGCAGGGAGTTTGTAAATCATGTTTTTGTGAAAATACAAACTGGCATGCAGGTTTACCAATTGAAGCATCATGCAGAATATGCACTTTTCATTGAAATGACCCTTACTAAGACCTCTGTGCTATGAAGATGAAACTATGATGAAGTCTTTTGGCAAGGCTAGCTACCCCTGCTCCCCTCTTCCCCTCCAAAGGAAAGAAGAATAAATAAATCCAGGGTCTTGTGCACTTGACGGCAAGGCTATGATCTGAAAAAACTAAAGCTAAGAATAATCCCTAAAGGAGTTGTTCTGGAAAAGTACAGCCCTTTGGCTTTTGCCTGTACTATTTTCTGTTCTTGTAGTAATCAAGTTTCAGCAAACAAATTTCTTAAACAGAAATGCATAAATTCCAGCCAAGTGCTAAGTACATCTCCTTAGACTGGGGAAAAAAAAAATGGCTTCAGGTTAGTAAAGAGATTATATAGCACGCAATCATGAAAATTCCACTGGGACACACAATCTAAACCAACTTAGGGGAAAAGAAATTATTGGCATCATCTCAACCCGCTAAGTATTTTGAAAAAACTCTCCAGGTTATTCTGATAAAGAACTCCATGTAAATCTTCCTGTTCCTACCGCTTCCCGCCCCAAGCAACACTGGGAATTTATGGATAGTATAAGGTCATTGTTTTATATATTTTTTGATCCTTGACAGCACACAATACATATTTAACACTTGTGTTTTGGAGTAAATACATCTATTGGTTTTCATTATGTCCAAAATGTTCTCATAGACCAATCTGAGTCCAATACGTAAGAAATCCTTCATAAAAATGCATATCGGCAAAGATGGAACAGTGTACAGGCAGATTAAAACATGCATTCCCTAGTCAAACAACAAAATTACAACAAGTTGGTGTGGAAATATTTAATAGCAGACAAAATAGAATTCAATATGAAAAGCATTATATGAGACAAAGGCAATATTAAAAAATTGATAAAAGAACACTCCACTAAAAATTATGAATCTTTATGCATCTAACAATAGCTTCAAAATATATAAAACAAATGCTCTGAGAAATGCAAGGAGAAATCGACAAATCCACAATTACAAAGACTTATAGACACTGACAAATTAAGTAGACAAAAATAAGAGGTAACACTTATTGGGCGCTTCCTATGTAAGTGGCACTCAAGTTATGTACTTTACATGCATTATCTAAGGCTATAGAAAGTTATTAATAACTAACAAGTCATATACACATACCATAAATACCACTGTAACTGATAAACAGAGAATAAACATTTTTTCAAACATCCATTAGATATTCAGTAAAGATCACATATATTAGGCACCCACCCACAAACACCACCACCACCAACCACTACCACCCCCCCCCAGTAAACATGGCTGGCAAGAGTACAATGAAATGAACGTTATCACTGATCTGGCAACAACTCTGACGAAGAATAATTTGGCATTGTGTATCAAGTGTCCATACTCTGTGACCTTTCTGTCTTTTTATAATTGTTTTTTGGGTAATCTATCCTACAGAAATAATCCAAAATACAGGGGAGAGAGACATTAAAATATATGTAAATTAATTAGACACTTGAATGTTGAAAGGGAATTGTTAAGTATGGTATAACCATTTAACAGAATATTACTGTTATTAAAATGACATTAATAGAGGCTACATAATGGGGAAGATGCTTGAAAATGTTAAAGGAGGAAAGCAAGAAAAGTATCACACTAAAATGTGTTTTTTATAGCTATAAGATAAACCCACATCTTCTTTAATGGACATATATTACTTTTTACAGCAAAAAAAAAAAAAAAACCCTATAATTTTTAACCTTTACTTTAGGCAGTTTTTGCTTTGCATTCTTTCTTGCAACTTTTCCCCCATCATCAGCTATGCAAGAAATACATGTCTGCAGAAGTGATATGATCTTTGTCAATGGCAACCTACATACCCTACAAAAGAGTACAGAGAGGCACAAATTCATCAGAAATTCTCAGAGTCCTTGGACACGGTGGCTGCTTTTTAGCCAGGCATATGGGAGTACAAGATAGCATAAAGCGACTTCATTTAGGCAAGTTAAATATTCATTAAGTTAGACATGACATTTTGGGATTCCCCGTGGAGCGAGATTTGGCCTCTGCAGCTGCTCTGGCTGAGGTGCAGCGAGCACTGCGCACACTGCCATGGCTCCTGGACCAGCAGAAACCCCATTTGCTGTTTCTGTCAGTATTTATATCAGTGATTCATATCTATTTATTAACAGTTATAATTTGGTATTTATTTTAAGGGACAAAATTTATGCGAGTTTTTGCGGACATAATTCCTTATTAGATACTAAATATATTTTTTAACACATTCTTTGACTCAAACGTGTATGTAAATAGCCCGGTTTTTTTTTTTTTAAATAGGTCCAGAAGACTCAGGACAGATCAGCTTTGAAGTTATATCAAAAATTAAGTTCACTTCATGCCAATGAGCTGCTCCTCAGCAGGGGCTGGTTTTGCCACGTGGAGAGTGGGGGGGATGACAGCCAAGTTGTTGTGTACACGAGAGAGCTAGACGGCATCGACAGAGTCTTTACCATGGTTCTGAATTTTGGAGAATCAACATCAATAGTAAATCTAGCAGAAATGATTTCAGGACTTCCCCCAACTGTGAGCGTAAGGATAAGTACCAATTCAGCCTACGACGGCAGTGCTGTTGAAACCAGTGCCATTACACTGGGCAAGGGGGAAGGACACATCCTTGAATATAGTACAAAGAATCCCCTTCATCGCCAAACAGCTCTCAGAGACAGATGTTTTGTTTCCAGCCGGGCGTGCTATTCCAGTGTGTTACACATATTGCACAGCTTGTGTTAGGCACCTCTGTGAAAGAGATGAAGACGCTGGCACGCATTTTGATTATAAGCATCTGCAGTAACTTCCACATATAGCTTGCTGCTGAGTAAACTCTCTGAATAGTCATGAATTCTTAGGTATTTCTGTAGCTTGAATATAACTGTTTTAGGAAAGGTTCTCAAATGTTCTTAAATAGTAATAAAATACTTAAAAGAAAATTATCGCTTGCAGGAACTTGTAAATTTATGGAGATAGCATCAATAAGAGATGATCAGAACGCCTTAGGATCCCAGATTATTTGAAAGATATAATTGATTTTAATGTGAAGAATGTTACCTTTTCCTTAAAATGCAGTCACAGAAACTGGAGGATGACCCACTGCTACAGTGTCTAAAAATGCTCACTGTTAAAGAGGCAGGGCATTGATTTGTAAACTGTTCCAACAAAACCTTATTAAAACAAACACAAAGCTGTTGATTGGTGGGGGTCACCCAGAGTCCTGCTGTCACCAGTCCCTCCCACGCTCCCTATTCCATGCCCTTTGAAGGTGCACGATTTGATGTGAAAACTGCTTTCCTAGGCTAAGGGGCATGTGCCTCAATGGACAGAACAGTATAAACAACTGAGATGCAGACTAAGCAGTTTGGATGGAGGAGCAAATTTTTACAAAATTACTTAATAACTAAAAAAAATCTCACTTTTGCTAATCCAACTGAAAATAAGACTATGAAATACTTCAGTGTGTTTTCCATTCCCAGCTGAATGTGACACTTCAGAATTTTAAATATTTCTTAAGATCTTCAAAAACATTGGTGCTGTCAAGTCCAAGCTCCTCGTATAGGAATTTAATCTGGGCTGTAATCTAAAAGAAACACATTTAAAAGTTAGATAGATGGCCTACGTGGTCAAACCCCAGTGTCTAAGTCTCTTTGTCTCCCCATCTTCATTTAACCCTGAAGTCAGCAATTTACGGCAAGCGTACTTTTATTCAGGGCAGAGGCTCCCAACAGCTAAGATTCAATTCCTTCTTTAATAGAGCTCACTAATCACGTACACGCCTTTTCTCTTGGTTGACTCAGCTTTCCGCCCTTGCTCCCCCGGGGTCTCAGACATAGGCCTGACAGCTGTGAAGCAGCGCTGCCATAGACTCTGCTGCAGCCCCTCAAATGTTAAGTACCACACATCTCTGCTTGGGATCTGTCACCTGAGGGGGGCTTCATAACATACCTTTTTGTGAGAATCCTCAATCACGTGATTGCCTCCAGGCTGAATATCTAAAACAATACTGGGGACCTGATAACCTGCAAAAGTTACATATAAAACCATCAGAAGGACCCTGGTTCAAGATGGGCATACTCTACTAAAATAATAGTAAAAGAATAAAAGCATAAACCAACACCAATGACAAAGAGGGGAGAAGGCAAGCAGTAGAAGACAGATTTCTGAAAGAGGGAAAGCAGGACGATAAGCAGTGCCTGAGCAAGCAGGAGAGAGGAGACGGTAGCCCCCAGAGAACCGTGGAGAAGGCTGAAACCTAGAGGCAGCTGACTGGCCCTGCGGAATCTCAAGAGTCTTGGGACCTGGCGACACCAACTACAGCAGTGGCTGGGAGTGAGACACGGAGCTGAACACAAGACAACTGTCCGAAACCTTGTACGTGGATCCCTCCCATCCCTGAACCCAGAATGTCTTGGCATTCAGTTTCAAGGAAAAACAGAAGAATTCTTGTCTAATGAAACTGAAAGAACTATCTGGAGAAAATTAAAGCAGCAGGTTTGGGTACTGAGGCTCCAGGGGAAAAATCTCAGACTCTGTCTTTTAGAGGTTTCCAAGAATAATGGCTCAATAAATATTGTTCGATGAATGAATGTGTGATAGTAGCACCTCCAAGTTTATATTTAATATTTATAATTTACTTTTTTCTAATTTATGCTCTGCCTACCTCATTTTAATACTTCCTTTGAAAAAGAGGTGAGGCACTTATCATTACTCTGTATGTTGCAACTGGGCAGTCAATACAGGAAAATCAATGATTTATCCTAAATCATGGGCAGACGATTTGGTCTGCAGCTAAACTATATCATTCTAAGCAGGATGCTAAGGGTGCCAGTCCATTTAGCTCTGTTCCCTGCTGCTAGGTGGCCTCCTACCTTCACCTGTGTCCTTAGCATGCTCTGTGATGGCTTCCTTGAGTTTCTCAGTATAGTTTACAATTCCTTTCAGAGGTACACGTTCATCGTTTTCATACGCTGTGATGTGAATTGAAGGATAATGCTAAAAGAAAATAGATGCGCAAAGTTTACATTATTCCTTGTGGCCCCTTTTCGTCTTACATATCATGGAAAATAACTGCTGCCAGTTTTTTTCCCTAAGTGCTAGAAGTTTTTCTCATTTGACATTCTTGAGAGCTCTCTAGCATTATAGTACCAGAAACCTGTCACTTGGAACAGTCTTTTCTTGAGTAGAGAGACCGTGATCTAATTTTGTAGCTAAGGCACAATAACTCTATTCTCCTGAGGTATTAAATGGAAACAAACACAGAGTATGAGCAGAGATGGTGCTGAAAGATGTTTGAGTATTACAAGTAGAAATATCCTAAATCCCGACTAATGCCTGCCTTAGCTCAAGTAAGTATCCTTTTGATTAACTCCTCTATGGATAGTATATCATAACTGTCTTTTACTACCTGAGGTTTAATATTCTGATAGGGGCAGTAACGTTTTATGTAATTCTTGTGTTTTTCATCAGATGAAGGATTCCCCCATTCTTCTAATTCTTCCAAAGTCAGAGGAAGTGTAGTGTCCATCATGGTATTGAGAACATCCAAGAAAGGTGCCTAAAAAAAGAGCCAAAGAAACATGAATGTTGATTAAGAAGTTGGTAAAATAAGTGTCAGAAAAATATACTACTTTACGAATATACATGCTGACATGAGAGAACAGAGCTCAGGGAGACACACAGATTCGTAGGAACCAGACTAATTACTGAGTCCTTCACCAGGGCCTGTGCTTCATAACTAGCTTTTATGTGTTTAAGGAGCCCTGGTGGGAAAGTGGTTAAAGTGCATGGCTGCTAACCGAAAGGTCTGTGGTTTGAACCCACCAGCTGCTCTGCGGGAGAAAGACGTGTCAGTCTTCCTCCGTCAAGACTTCAGCCTTGAAAACCCCATGGGGCACTCCTACTCCGTCCTCGAGGGTCGCTATGAGTCGGAATCAACTTTACAGCAGGAGGGTTAGTTTTCTGGTTTTTTGTGTGTTTAGAGTCCTTAAATGACATGTATATAATGAGAAAGGGTTTATCTTCTAATTTCACAATTTTTGTTTTTTTTTTAGTTGGCTTTTTATTCATGTATTTTTTTCTTATTTATAAAAGTAATAAATCCTAATTGAAGAAAATCTGGAAAGTATCCAAGTTGAAGAAAGAAAAAAAACCAGCCTCCAGCCCATGGGGGGTTGTTGGGTGCTGTTGAGTCATTTGCAACTCATAGTGAACGAATGTGACAGAGTAGAACCACCCGATAGGGTTTTCTAGGCTGTAATCTTCATGGGAGCAGATCACCAGGTCTTTCTCCCACAGAGCAGCTGGGTGGGTTCAAATTGCCAACCTTTCAGTTATCAGCTGAGTGCTTAACCACTGCACCACCAGGGCTTCTTCACTAGCACATAACTAATGTGAAATCAAATTTAATAAAAAGAGACTGCTCTTTCACTTAGCCTTCTATTCCCGTTAACACGCTTTTCAGTTTTCCCTATCAGTATTAACCTAGTGGCTGTCTGCCATTGTTTTGACTGCTTAGCATCTGAACTCCTTTTTCATCTGGAAAGTCCCCAACCTGAGACAGAGCCCGACTCTCACTGAAACGTGTTAAATGTCAGATACTGCCTTTCCCAGCTTGCCCTGCAGCTTGGGAGCAGCCACATGAGGTAGGTCTGCCAATCAGACACGTGTGCTTCGAACTCTGAATGGGAAGTTAGTGATTCAAAGAAGTAGGGACCAGAGAATTTATTCTGGCAACAATGCCGCAGCTATATTAGTTTCTAGAAGGGGCAATGGCATTGTGAGTTGTGCCCAGTGGTGGCACTTCACCGGGCCAGTTTTGTGGTGTATTTTGCACAGGTTCCTGGCTGTGCATCCTCTAAGCTGAGTTCTGTACCTAGCCTTACCTAATGTTGTTGTGAGCTGCTGCTGAGTCACTTCCGACTCATGACAACCCCAAGTGTGCAATAAAGAAACTGTCATGGGTTGAATTATGTCCTCCAAAAAAATGTGTGTATCAATTTGGCTGGGCCATGATTCCCAGAATTGTGTG